AGATATGTTACTCTCTGCAACCACCAAAAACAGGATCCAAGGGAGGGAATGGGGGAGGGGAGCTGACTCTGAGAAGATTTTGGGGGAAAGGAGAAGGATCATTTGGGGAGAAGGGGAAGGAAGAGAGAGGCGAGAAGACAAAGGAAGAGAGATTGATGGAGTAAGAGTGAGAACAAGACAGAGAGAGGCCAAAAGAAGAGGAGAAAGGGAAGGAAGAGAGGGCAATGGGTGAAGAGGGAGGAGGAGAGAGAGAAGGTGGGTGAGCGAGATGGCGAGGGGGCTCCCTGGGTGCAGGCTCATCTTGAGTTTAGGAGCAAACCCTTGCATTTTCTAAAAATAGTTCAGCCTTTCCCCCAGCGGGGCTGGCAGCAGGGACGAGAGAGGCTTGTCCTTTTATGGTAAGAAAATTCCAGATCCTCAAGGGGGAGCTGGGCCCAAGCCTGTAGTTCTGGATAAAGCCCAGCCCTGGGGTCTGGGTTGTGACTTGGTGGGATTTCCTGGCTTGGGTGGCCCCACCTTTGGTAAGGAAAGGGCTGAGGTGGCAACACTGGAGCTCCAGTGTTGGAGGTGGAAGGGCTCCTAGAGACATCTGGTCTACCCCATCTTTCTATTTGATAGGAGAAAAAAACCGAGTCCCACAGAGTGGAAGAGACTGTAGGCTCCCCATGTAGGGGTTTGAGGTGTCAAGGTAAATCAGTGCCCAGGTCCGCATGAGGATGGCTTACGTGCCCATTATTATGGAGGGCAGTGTGGGCAGTGGAGAGAGCACTGGTCTAGGGTTTAGGAGACCCACAGCCCACCCCCAGTTGCTTGTGGTTTGTGGTGTGTCCTTGAGCAATCTGCCAAATCTCTCTGGTCTCAGATTCCTTCACGGGGGTGATCTTAAGGGCCTTTTGCCTCTCTGGGAATTCCAAGGCTGGAAAGCAAAGCCTGGGCATAGAGGCAGTGAGCAATCTGCAGGCTGCTATTTTCTTCCCGTGCCTGGCCTACTTCCTATGCTGAGGCAAAGCTAAGATGGACCAAGATAGAGAGGAGGTTCTTTAGGAGATGGGGGTAGATCATAGATGGGAATCTTCAGCTGTCCAAATTGGTTGGGTCCAGCCCCGCACTGGACACACTGAGGCCAGGGAGGACCTTATGTTCAAGATCATGCGGAGAGTTGGGGCAGAACCAGGAAAGAACCCGGCCTTGGGCTTTTTCCTCTACAGGAAGCCTCCCATCTGCAGCAGCTGGCAACTTTGGGGACCATCTGTGGCCAGGAAAGGGGCCTTTCAGAGCAGAGCAGACAGAACTCAAGATAGACCTTCATCTTCTGACTACCTCTTAAAGACAGGCTGTCCTGGCAGGTCACCCACCTCTCCTTGGCCCCCCTCCCTTGGCTGCAAGCACCTTACCATGGTCTCATCTCTGGCTGGAAGGCAGGAAAGAGGCGAATAGGATGGATAGGACAGGGCAGCCACTCTGGCAGTGTAGTCTCGGGCAAGTTTCCCCTTGTTAGCCTTGGGTTCTGCATCTGTAACACAAGGAGATGGCCTTGAAGATGCTCTTGACAGGACTGTCAGCCCTAACAGGACTGTGACACAGTGAGGTTAGCACTCAACACCAGGAAAGGTTATGAAGCAGGCACTGGTTCACCAGGTGGATGAGATGGATCTAGTCACTCTCTGTTGCTTTTCAGTGCGTTGAGTCGGGGACCCAGAGCCCAGGGTTCCTGGTGGCCCCAATCCTCTGTCAATTCTGGGAGCCTGGACTGACTCTGTGTCTCCAGCTTGAACCCAGAGCTCAGGTAGCTCTGGTCTTGAGTGTCCAGGAATGCTTGTTGGCCTGATCCGTGTTCATGCCCACTCCCCAGGACCCTGCCCAGGACTTTGCCCTTCCCTCCACCCTGTCCCACATAGCTGCCCACCTCCCCAGCCCCTGCCTGGCCCCCCCTCCCCATCTGCCCTGCATCTCCATCTCTCCATACGCGGTCTTTTTGTGACTCAATCCAAAGAGGAGGCTCGCTTTCCTCTTCCAGCCTTCTGTGACTGCCCCCTGCCACCCCCCACCTACTGCTGGGGGGAAGGAGGGACAGGAAAGAAAGGGGCCAAAAATAAAGCATCTTGTTCTAAGCTTCCCTGTGACCCTCCTGGAATTTCCATGTAAACTCTCTGGGGCGTGTGAACAGGGCTCTCAGGGACCCTGGTCCCCTCTGCCTCATTCCTGCTGGGTGGAAGGCCATCGGCTGAATGTCCCCCAGAGACCCAGTCTCACAACCAGGCTCCAGGTCTCCCTGGTGTTCCCTGGGAAGGGCAGAAGGCAGCAGTGTGGTGAAAGGAAGTGGGAGGGAAGGGAGTCCCTAGAGGCCCCCATGCGCAGCCAGGGCAGAATTGATGTCATGCCCAGCTGGGAATCTGACATTCAGGCAGGACGGGGGCTCAGCCCCATGAGACTGGCCCAAGGCAGCCAGGGCTGTGATGTGAAGTCCCAGTCCGGTGGTGGGAAAAGCCTGAAACCTCATGTTTGACTTCTCGCTACGGTGTCACTGCTAAGGTTGCATACCTCTGGTGATGGGGAGCTCACTGCTTTCCAATCACCTATCCCTCTTTGGATAGACTGTTGGAGATTCCTTCCCAATATCCTGACGACATCTGTCTCGCTGGGGGGGCACCCCCTGTCCTTTCCTGCTCCTCAGAAAGCTCTTCAGACGGTGACTGCAGCCCCGGGGCTTCCTACGCGTCTGATGCCACCCTAAGGCCTCCTGTTCCATTGGTGACATCTCCGTCACCAGCGCCCACATCCCCAGGTCTCTCCCCTGCATTGGTTGCCTCCGGGTGGTGCTTTGGGGACGGGGACAAACAGGCTACAGAAAGGGACAGATGCCAAGAAGGACCTGTCCCCTCCTGGGGCGTTGGTCTCTGGCTATCCAAGCCACTTCACGGCCAGGCCTTCCCCACTTTGCCAGCCTCAACCCTCACGGAGTTCCTAGACGTACCCTCCATCCCAACCAACCGGGCTTGTTCGCTCTCCCCTGAAAAT